TGGCGCGGCGGGCTGCGGACCGGGCGGCCCGGGGTCAGAGTCGGGAGCGTGTGCGGGACGCGCCGACTCCCAAGGGGAGGGAAAAGACCCTGGGGTCCGCCTTGCGACGCCTGAGCGCGGTCATGATGTCACTGCGGCGCCGGAGACCGCATCATAATGTCACAAGAGCCTTTTTCCTCGAGGAAAAGGGACCCCGAGATCCCAGGAAGGCAGGCCGTGGGTGGGAAGTGACTGCAGCCTGTGTGAGCCCAGCCCGACCTGGGAGCCCCAAAGAAGGGGACTTTGGAAGGAAGCAACTTTAGATGCCGCTTGGTTCCTCGGAATTGTGGGGCTGCCATTTATTGAACAAGTATTTATTGAGACCTGTGTGTACTAGGCAGTGGGTGTGCGGTTCTGAATAAAACAAAAGGGACCACGGCCGGGCTCGGTGGCTCAGCCTGTAATCCCAGCACTTTGGGAGGCCGAGGTGAGTGGATGGCCTGAGTCCGCGGGTTCGAGACCCGCCTGGGCAACTTGGCGAGACCTCATCTCTACAATAAATCAAAAATTCGCCGGGTGTGGTAGTGCGCGCCTGTACTTCTGGCTACTTGGAAGGCTGAGGCGGAAGGATCGCCAGAGCCCAGCAGGTCGAGGCTGCGATGGCCGGGAGCGGCCACTGCACTCCAGTCTGGGTGACGGAGTGAGACTCCAGCTCAAAAAAACCAAAAAGGACCCCTGCCTACATAGAGCTAACAGACTGATGGGACACACACACACAAACAAAACAAGAAATAAGTAAAATAATTTCAAATGAGGAGAACACAAAAAAGGGAAGGGATGCCATCGTAAGAATAATGAGGAAGACCTTTAGACCGAGTAGTAAGAGATGGTGCTCTAAGAAGGTGACATCTAAGGAGATCTGAAGGGTGAGAAGGAGGGAACCAGCCACCGTCCCTGTAGGAAGGTCAAGGCAGAAGACCCACATGTGCAGAGGCCCTGAGACAGGACTAGCTTGGTGCATTCAGGAATAGGCAGAAAGCCAGCAGAGCTGGTGTGTCATGAGCAAGGACCCGTGTCAGTGGGCCTTTGCACCACCTTAGAGGAAGGTGCCCAGACATCCAAGTGGGCCGAGCTGTGCTGGTTTAGAAACAACACGATGTAGGATTCAGCTTGTCAAGTCTCCTAGCTAACTGGAAGGCTCTTGAGATCCAGGGGTCTGGGAACTCATTATCCTACTTTGTAACCTACCACAGTTCAAGGAAACCTAAGGCTGAGGCTATGACGGGCCCCTCATTTTACACATAAGAAACTGAGGCCCTGGAGGGAGTAGATTTTGTGTTTTTTTGTTTTCTGAAAATCAAGTAATTGGCAGGTCTTCTAGCTCCCAGACTGGTCTCCACCACACTGGCATCATACCACACTGACCTCGTCATACAACTCAGTCCTGAACACAGTCGAGGCATTCAGTAAATGCTTATTGGCTGACTGATGGGCTTTGTGTATGAAGATGATGCTTCTGCAACTCCATCAGTGGAACATAAGGTCTGAGTTGTCCACCCATACATTAGGCTGGGCTCCACTGACCCAGCTCCTCCTTCTAGCCCTTTGTACTAAGGGCTTCTATGTGTAGCAAAATGAGGAAAGTTAGAGGAATTGTTTCATATGATCCGTAAGCTAAAGTTTTTATTGAGTTCAAAAGGGCACTCAATAATTTTTTTTTTTTTTTTGAGTTGGAGTCTCACTCTGTCACCCAGGCTGGAGTGCAGTGGCATGCTCACAGCCACTGCAGCCTCGACCTGCTGGGTTCAGGTGATCCTCCTCAGTCTTCCGAGTAGCTGCAATCACAGGCATGCGCCACCACACCAAGCTAATTTTTTTATTTATTGTAGAGATGAGGTTTCACCAAGTTTCCCAGGCTGGTCTCGAACCCCGAACTCAGGCGGTCTTCTTGCCTTGGCTTCCCAAAGTGCTGGGATTAAAGGCCAGAGCCACTGTGACTGACCAGTCTTTTATTTATTTATTTATTTATTTATTTATTTATTAACAAAGATGGCTACCTCCAGGAAAAAAAAAATAGACCTGTCGAAATAAAAACAGTAGCTCTGTTTCCAGGAAATTCTCTCCTGTGAGGTTTAAGATGTCCAGGAATTTCTCGTAGTCCCCATAGAAGGTGTGAATAAGGTTAGGGGTCAGAGCACTCCTGTATATAGAGGAATGAAATGATTTTTTTTTTTTGAGTTGGGGTCTCACTCTGTCATCCAGACTGGAGTGCAGTGGCCGCTCCCGGCCACCGCAGCCTCGACCTGCTGGGCTCCGGCGATCCTTCCGCCTCAGCCTTCCAAGTAGCTGGAACTACAGGCGCGTGCTACCACGCCCGGCTAATTTTTTTATTTATTATAGAGATGAGGTCTCGCCAAGTTGCCCAGGCGGGTCTCGAACCCGCGGGCTCAGGCAATCCACTCACCACAGCCTCCCAAAGTCGTGGGACTACAGGCTGAGCCACCGAGCCCAGCCAGGAATGAAATGATTTAACTAAAAACATACCCCAAGAACAAAACTGGCTGCAGAATGGCACACCTGCATCTAGTGACTGACATACTAAGTTTAAACAAGATTCACATCGTAACCTTGCCTGGTTTTTTTATAACTCTTCTCAAACCTGCCTCCTGCCTCTGACCTACTGAAGTCACACACCACTTCCTTTGTTAAACAGAGCAAACCACAGAATCATTTTATTTTCTGCCACTCTAAAAACTTCTCACCACTCTTAAAAGGGGTTGAGGGAAGAAAAGAGAACCAGTGTCAAGGTTTCCTTGTGTTTAGTGTCAAACCTTCTAATCTGATGCATGGGTGAGCGTGCACACCTTTTCCCTGTTTTTGCTTGGTTGATATTTGGCTTTCTTTACGCACCTATGTCTGCCTGTAATACTTGTGGGTTAACTAAGATTTTGCTCTGGTGAATCAAGGGCAACGTATGATGTGCCAGGACTTCTCTCTCAATGGGAGCATTGTAGTCTTCTGAGTAATGAATCTCCTGTTGCACAATATTGAGAATTGTTTGGCAAGCATATGTCACACACACACACACACACACACAGACACACGCACACACACACACAACCTTCACATAGTTGAATCTTAAAATCTTCTAGCCCTGGGATTAGAATTCTCTTTCCTATGGATGTTGGTAGGAATATTCATAAATGTTTTTTCAATTTGAGGTGCTGGGAGAGAAAATGTGTTGACTTGATATAAAGGAGTTCATAGCATACCCTATGCAGCTATGTGTTGGCCCTGGAGGAATAATTCCTCAAGGCATCGGGTAGACCAGCCGTGAGACTTTTTGGGATTCACAGCCTGACATCACCACGTCACTGCCATGTACCAATACCTAAATGCCCCAAATGACCCAAATGACCCACACACGAGTCATCAAGAAGAAAGAAATCATCTTAGTCCCTGCTTGGTAGGGTGAGAGAAGATAGAGAAATAGATAACAGTATTTTTTTTAAATTTATTTAAGGTTGGTGTTATTTTGGTGTGTCACAAAGATAGGAGATGCAGGAGGTTGGTTATTCTGATTTGAAGTTTGACTCTGGGTTTTTGAAATTTTTTTGTTATTTTCTATTTTATGTATTTATTTTTTGCTCCCATGTGGAGTTAGTTTAATGAACTATTTCAGGCACATAAAAAGAGAAAGAGCCGGGTGTGGTGGCTCATGCCTGTAATTCCAGCACTTTGGGAGGCAGAGGTGAGAGGACTGCCTGAGCTCAGGGGCTCGAGACCAGCCTGAGCAACATGGTGAAACCTCATCTCTACAATAAATCAAAAAAATCAGCTGGGTGTGGTGGTACATTGCCTGTGGTTCTAGCAACTTGAAAGTCTGAGGCAGAAGGATCTCCTGAGCCATGAGTATGGTAGCCATGAGTGTGACACTGCATTCCTGCCTGGGAGACAGAGTGAGACGCAAAAATAAAAAAAGAGAGAGAGAGAAGGAATATGACACTATGACACTGATGTACTCACCAGGTTAAAGAATAAAAGCATCAGCCGGGCTCGGTGGCTCAGCCTGTAATCTCACGCCTTGGGAGGCTGAGGTGAGTGGATTGCCTGAGCCCGCGGGTTCGAGACCTGCCTGGGCAACTTGGCGAGACTTCATCTCTACAATAAATCAAAAATCAGCCGGGCGTGGTAGTGCACGCCTGTAATTCTGGCTACTCGGAAGGTTGAGGTGGAAGGATCACCGGAGCCCAGCAGGTCGAGGCTGCGGTGACGGGGAGCGGCCACTGCACTCCAGTCTGGGCAACAGAGTGAGATTCCAACTCAAAAAAATAATAATAATAATAATAATAAAAACATCACAGAAGGAGCTGAAGTCCTGTGTGTCCTTCCTTCTCAATCCCATTACCTTTCTCCTTCTCCAGAGAATAGCTACTGTCCTTCATTACTGTATCTCATAGGTATCTAAGCAAAAACTTATAAAGAATAACATAACATATACACGTCTTTTTGCTACTTGTTTTTTAAATCACCATTAAGAATCTGAGATGTATGCTTGTTGACTCATATAGTTTGAAACATTCTTTTTTCATAACAATATGTTTGTATAGGGAAAAAAATATTTTTTTTTAGTTGGTGGTCTCACTCCTTCGCCCAGACTGGAGTACAGTGGCATGCTCACGGCCACCCCAGCATCAACCTGCTGGGCTCCAGGGATCCTTCCACCTCAGCCTTCCAAGTAGTTGGAACTATAGGTGCACGCTACCATGCCCGGCTATTTTTTATTTTATTGTAAAGATGAGGTCTCGCCAAGTTGCCCGGGCTGGTCTCGAACCTGCGGGCTGAGGCAATCCACTCACCTCGGCCTCCCAAAGTGT